TCCTGGAGCAGGTGGCGCGCCTCGGGGAGCAGCTGCGGCGGCGCGAGGGCGGCGTCCAGGAGGCGCGGCTGCGCCAGGTGCGCGGGCTGGGCGGGCTCGGCGGGCGTGCGCAGCTCGGGCGGGGTCCGCGCGTCCCCAGGGCCCCTCCACGTGAGGGAAGAGCTAGAGGACAGGTGCGGGCCTTGTGGTCCTCCTTCGGGTGGGTCTCCGGCGTGTCTTTTTGTGGGATGCACGGGACCACGCAGGACAGCCCGCGGGGCGCCGTCCGCCACTCCTCCTGGCCTGGGGGTGCGTGTGGCCGCCGCTGCCCGGTTGTCCCCCGCCGAGCTCCTGATTTTTCCAGGAAGAAACAGCAGCCTGGAGGGGAGGAGCCCGCAGAAGATAGTGTGCGTAGTGTGCGTTTCCAGGATTGGGCCCGCAGCCGGACCTAGAAAGAAAAGGAACCTGCCCTTTTCGCTTTCTGGTTGTGAAAGTGATTTTACATATCCGAAAAATTAAGATAATCAAGAATCAAAATCCCCCTGAGCCCTCGATGATGAGGTGGCCGCCCAAGAGTCCGGAATGCCTCTTCCTGTTTTTTCCCTGGCAGCGCTGCGACTCTGGGCAGCCCGACCTGGTGCTCGCCCCGCCGTGGCTTTGTGTGATGTCAGGTTTCCTCTCTGCGGGAACGCGAGGTCGGATCCACAGACAGGGACCCCCCCACGCCAGCTCGCTCTTCCTGAAAAATGGCTTGGGACTTAGCAGGCAGAAGGAGCATTCGAAAGCTACCTGGTTTGTGCCCTGGACGTTAGCGTCGTCGCTGTCCGGAAGGTAGGGAGGGTGCAGGGCTTGAGGCAGCACAGCGCCCTTGGCGCCTGCAGCCCGCGTCAGGCCGGCCGAGGCCCGCGCACCCAGCGGGCCAGGCAGCCGGGTCGGGGGGGCAGCGCCACCTTCCTTCCCTCTGTGTGAAGGTTTTGTTCTGAGAGAAAAAAGTGATATAATTTTGCAGTTTTATTTAGAAAATTTCGTTAATATTACTGTACTAATTTTATTATTTTATTTTTGTATTTTTAGGGAAGGGTCTACAGGGGGCTCAGGGTCTCACTACTAGATCGGACTCATAGTGATCCGCCTGTGTACAGCCTCCCAAACCCTGGGATTACAGGCACGCCCACCACACCCAGTCTCAGTTGCCATCTCAGTATGGGGGGGCAGCACTGCAGGCCCAGGGATTGAACCCCAGGCCCCTGTGCCTGCTTGCAGGCGCTTTAATCTGCTGAACTATTTGGCTGGCCCTACTGTACTAATTTTAAATGTGTAATTATTGTATGCTCTTCAGTCTGCCAAAACCCACTGGCCAAGCGTTAAATATAGGTATCACAAATTACCCTGTTGAGCAAGGGAATTCTGAGAAATCTATTCATTTTCATTTTAGTACTTTGTTCTGTGATGCAGCTCCTCAGATTATGTGGTTTGCAAAGGTAAATGCAGGTTCAGACAGAAAACTAGTGCGTTTATCGCTACACACCTATGTAAGCCAACAGTGGTTGTTAATGCAAATGCAATGCTTTTTAAATTTTTTTTTAACATTTAGTGTGTGTGTGTGTGTGTGTGTGTGTGTGGCCAGCTCAGCCCACCAGGGAGCGGGGCTGGCTGGCATGTGGTGCTGGGGATTGAACCGCGGTCCCTGTGCTTTGCCAAGCTTGTTCCAAGTAGGCGCTTTAGACCACTGAGCCATCTCACCAGCCCCAACAAATGCAATGCTTTTTATACTGCCTTTAAATATTCCTTCTTCTTGTGATCTTCTTTTTCCTCCAGTACTGAGTATTAATATAGGTCCTTCTCACAGAGCTGTATCTCTAGCTCTAGATTTTTATTTTTTTTTTTGGACAGGCTTTTGCTAAGTTACTAAGTTGCCCAGGCTGGGTTTGAACGTGGAGTCCTCCTGCAGCCTGCCAGTGTGCTGGGGCTCCAGGGATGTGCCAAGTGCCCTGACTGCTGATTGTCTCACGGCGTTGCTGGTGAACAGAACATTGTTACATCTCAAATCATTCATTTTAAATAGCACCAGAAACTGAAGGTGACTTTAACTTTAGTGCAATAATAATATAATAGTAAATAATAAGTGTGAAAACTGTTAGGGTTTTTGGCGGCACAACAGAGAAGGAGACATTAAAGGATGGAAAAGGCCTTGATGGCCACGGACAGGATGCGGAGGGCACGGGTGGCAGGGAGGTGGGGTCCTGACAGGACGCGGAGGGCACGGGTGGCAGGGAGGTGGGGTCCCTGACAGGAGGCCCGCAGGGCACGGGTGGCAGGGAGGTGGGGTCCTGACAGGGGTCCTGACAGGAGGCCCAGAGGCCAGACTACGGACTTGGGGGTGACGGGGCTCGAGGGGCAGACTCAGGATCCTGGGAACTGACCGGGCTCCCTTGTGTGCGGAAAGGCCAGGGAGACGGCTCCGTGGAATAAGCGCTTCCCTGGCAAGCGCGGGGGCCTGAGTTCAATCCCCGGTTCTGCCAAAAAAAAAAAAGGCAGTTACATCGAGGACAGGGGTGGGGAAGGAGGAGGAGGGAGTGATCCTTGGGAAGATACGCTGTTGTTCTAGGGTTCAGCCCTGTCGGATCAGCGCCATGATAATTTAGCAGCTTGTATCAGGCTGGAACCTATCAAAAATAATTACCATAATTCATTAAAATAGCTCATATAAATATTATATTTCCATATACAGTAATAAATACTGTGCTTATGGACAACTGATTAAAATCAGAGAATTGTACACAAACTAAGGTTATTTCCAAGGCCTGGAAAACTGCAAATGAAAAAAAACATCTCACCAGCGAATGACAAGGAAGAGAGGGAGGCTTCCGGGCGCTGAACCTGTCCAGAATGCGGAGCAGCAAGCAGCACTGTCCGCACAATAGCTTCGTGGGCCTCTGATCCAGAAGAAATGAGCGCAGGGGAGGTGGGGCTGCTGCCACGTCCTTGGCTCCGCGTTGGGTCGGACTGGCACCAGCGGAGCTCCGCCTGTGCACCGGAGGGGCCGCACTGCGGCAGCGCGGCCGAGAGCGCGGCCCTGCAGACCTTGTAGTGTCCTCTCTCCCTCGGGCTGGTTTGCAGGGACCCCGTTCTGGTCCTTTCCACGTGACAGAAACTTCACTGAAGAACTCAGGTAGGGCCCAGAATGAGGCCAGCGGTGGACCTCGCTCCGTGGCCCCATGTGTCACGTGGGACGTATTGGGCCTTTTCTTTCGTGGATGACCGTTGTGATGGCACCAGTTCCAAAGGCCCAGGATTATGGGTGAGCTCTGTGTGGATCCAGAGATGGCAGAAGAGAGTACATGGGGACAAGCAGTGTCCTGGGCAGGCAGAGCAGGGCCAGGGTGTGAGGCCGGGTCTGGAGGGAGGCGCCGGCTCGAGGGCCCACACCCAGGGCCCCCTCTGGACAGCTGTGTGAGGGGCACAGAGCACGGGCACACTGTCGGTTATTTAGGGAAAACTTACCATCTGCTGTGCAGCTACTGCTCCCCTGCCACTTACCCTGGGGCTGGCCTCAGGCCCACTCGGTGTAGGGGCTCCTCGGGAGACTGAGGCAGGAGGACCACGAGTTCCAGGCCATGCTGGGAAACAGGAAAAACAGGAAAGGGCTAAGAACGTAGCTCAGTAAGGGAGTACTGTGTTCAATCACCAGTACCAAAAAAGAAGGGTGAGCTGGTGGTGGGTCACTGTCTTCGATGGCTGTGTCAGCAACTCATTAGGAGTAGAGACCCCAGTAGGGACTGAAGAGTCCCCAAGAGGCTGCTGAGGCTCAGGGATGTGGAAGGTGCAGGTGGCTCAGGTGGTGGCCATGGGAGCCTCTCTCAGCCATCCTGCAGGGCTCCCCAGGGCTTGGTGGCCTCCTGCACACAAAGGTCAGTCTTCCCTCAGGCTGAGGACATCCGGGTCATGCAGAGGGAGCAGGAAGCACGGCCAGGAAGAAGCCCTCACCCCCGACCTGACACTCAGTGGGCGCCTGGAGGGGACAGCTGATGGGAGGCAGGTGCTGCGTGTGGAGAGGAAGCCCATGGGTTGGGGTGGAGCGTGGGGAGACCATGGGGTCTGGTGTCTGGCTATGCTCCTGAGCACCCCAAGTTCTACTTTGGCTCTCTCAGCTAATGGTTATTTCAGAGGGTTCTTTGAAAACAGAATTGTCATTGTGGCCAAGCCTGGTGACAAGTGCTGGAAGTCCCAGCACTCAGGAGGTGTGGTAGAAGGGTCACTGAGATCAGTATGTGCAACAGAGAGACCCCGTCCCAAAACAAAAACGTGACAAACCAAAATGATCATTTTAAGACTTTTTTTTACTATTTATCTATTTTGAGACAGGGTCTCACGATACAGTTCAGGCTGGCCTGGAACTCACTTTGTAGCCGAGGCTGGTCTCGAGCGCACAATGGTCCTCCGGTCTCAGCTTCCCCACTGCGGGGACGATAGGCCTGCCCCACCATGTCCAGTTTTAAATTTACCAGGCACAGCAGATGGTAAGTTTTCCCTAAATAACCGACAGTGGCTGGCACACCCACGTGTGCCCGTGCTCTGTGCCCCTCACACAGCTGTCCAGAGGGGGCCCTGGGTGTGGGCCCTCGAGCCGGCGCCTCCCTCCAGACCCGGCCTCACACCCTGGCCCTGCTCTGCCTGCCCAGGACACTGCTTGTCCCCATGTACTCTCCTCTGCCATCTCTGGATCCACACAGAGCTCACCCATAATCCTGGGCCTTTGGAACTGGTGCCATCACAACGGTCATCCACGAAAGAAAAGGCCCAATACGTCCCACGTGACACATGGGGCCACGGAGCGAGGTCCACCGCTGGCCTCATTCTGGGCCCTACCTGAGTTCTTCAGTGAGGTTTCTGTCACGTGGAAAGGACCAGTTTTAAGACTTTTTTAAAAAGTCCTTAGTGTTGCACATATTAGTCTCCTAGAAGTACCATAAAAAAGTACCACAAACTTAGTGGCTTATCGTGGCTTAAGGCAACAGACGTTTAGCATTTGCACAGCTGTAGAGGTGGGACGCCCTGCTGCAAAGCGCTAGGGAGGCTGCTGCCACGGCCACAGGCCCTGGGCCCTTGTGTGGAGCCACATCGCTCAGGTCTGTCTCCACGTCGTGGCTGCCTTGGTCCCTCTCTTCCAAGGAGGACTTTGTGATCAGTACAGGAGAAACAGTGCAGCTCCCACCCAGCTGGGCGTCAGACACATGAAATGCATTTTCCCCAGAAGCAAAAAAATGAATTCTTGGGGCCGGGAGACGGCTCAGTAGAGTAAGCGCTTCCCTGGCAAGCGCACGGGCCTGAGTTCAATCCCCGGTTCCGCCAAAAAAGAGAAAAAAGGAAAAAAAGAAGAGTAGGAAAACAGTATTTATCGAGAGGGACACGGCTCCCAAGACAGGAGGGGACCCAAAAGTGAGTTTCCAAAGACCCCACACCACAGAGGAAGTTTCACAGAGCAAAATCTCAAGCTGGGTACAACCTGGGACAAAACTAATCCAGGGCTGGGGAGACAGCTCGGCAGTATAAGCGTCTGCCTGGCAAGTGCAAGGTCAGGAGTTCAATCCCAGGTACAAAACAAATGAACCCGTGACCTTCCAATAAGATTGACGTTTAGCCACCAGGTAACACTGGCCCAGTGGGGAAGCAGGGCAGGCAGCGAGGCTGAAGGGGAAGAACCTGGGTCTTTCAGGAGTGGGATCCGGCCACCCGCAGGGCTTGGGGGAGCGCGCAGGCCTGGTCTTTCGGGCACTCCCATCCTCAGCATGACTCCCTAAGGCCCAGCCCTGCCTGACAGCCTCAAGTATTTCCTCCTAGTGTGGCTGCCTATAATATGATTAAGGCGCATCCTAGCCGGGACCTCTTCAATATGACTCCCTCTTTTGAAAAAATCATAGGTATCATTTGTTGATACTTTTTAAATACCAGGCACTACGTGAACCACCACCACCTTTACTCTTACTATCTTACGTGAGCATCGCAGAACCCCTGCAAGGTAGGGGCTGTCACCCCATTTGTAGACAGGAACTGAAGCTTAGTGTTCCCAGAATCACAGTGTGCAGCAGTAAATGAGACCCTGTGCTAAGAGAAATCCTGGTCCCAGGCACAATTTCTGGGGCTCCCGCTGCTGTGGGGTCTCCTTTCCTATCCAAAACACGTTCAAGGTTGCTACTTGTAGTACTTAGTTGTGAAGTCTAAAACTGTAAACTTGCTCCTGAGAACAGAACTGTAGTGGACATCGTATCCCAGAGCCCTGTGACTTGGGGAACCCTGGGGTTCGCATGGAGCCCTGATCTCCTGGCTGAGGGACGTGATGTAGCGATGCGTCCCTCTGCCAGCCTTTCTCAGGCCTTGTGGTCAGTTGCTGTTGACCTGCTGCCTCTGTTACACCCATAGGAAGTGGAGAGACTCACCCAGCACCTGGAGGACAGAGAGCGGGAGCTGCAGCAGCGGGCTGAGAGCCGGCCCTGGCACGAGCGGGACAAGGAGGTGGCCCTGCTGCGGAGGAGCGTGGCTGAGAAGGAGCGGGCCTGGGCTGCCAGCAGCGTGCTGTGTCGCTCGCTGGCCGGCGAGACCCAGCAGCTGCGCAGGACACTGGCCGCCACGGCCCACATGTGCCAGCACCTGGCCAAGCGTCTAGAGGAGCGGCAGTGCATGCAGGGGCCAGGGAGGGACAGAGGCCCAGAGGAGGTGTGTTGGCCACAGTGTCGCCTGGCAAGGTGAAAGCCGGTATGGAGAGCGTGCTCCTGGGAGCGGGCAGCCACCTCCCAGCCCCACCCTGCCCAGCACAGCCTGAGTGGTGGGGACAGCACTTTGGATGCCTCTGCCTGGGAAGGGCTGAGATGGAGGGGCTGCCTGAGGAAGTGCCATGTGTGTGTGCAGATGGGGACACTGAGGCAAATGGCCATGACACTGGGCATGGTGAGGTGTGCAGAGCCCGGGCCCCTCCCCAGGAGGCCCAGGAGCCAGCTCCCTTGGGCCCTTGTGTGTCTGAGTAGTCCTATTCCTCTGTGGGCACAGCTGCCACCTCTGCAGCTGGTTTTTGGGCATGTGTGTGTCCTCAGGGGCCACCAGACCATCCTCAGGGGCACAGGCTCCTCACCAGCACTGCCCGTCAGCATGGTGAGAGCTGGGCCAGTGGACAGAGGCTCCTAGGGCTATGGCTGAGGGCACCAAAGAAGGGACAGGCCAGGTTGGGGTGAGGGCCAGCCCAGCCTAGACGCAACAGAAGGCAGCTGGTTCTCATGAGGGTGGACATGGGGAGGGGCACCTAGGGTGGGGTCCTGGCAGGAGGAGCAGGGCATGGCGGGGCCTGGGCTGCTCGTGGTGCCTTCCTCCCACACATGGGAGCAGGGTGTGGACACCTTTCTGGGCCCCAGGCTCAGGTCTCTTCCAGGCACCTCTCTGAGACACAGCAGGACTTCAGAAACTCGAGTCAGGGCCATCTATGGACAGGTGGCACCTAGTTCTGAGCCACCGTGACACATGCCTTGGATCTGGCAGTCGCTGTCTAGAATCGCCAGCCGAAGGCAGGCACAGGGCCCCAGAACGGGAAGGCAGTGACCGCCTCATCTGTCTCACCAGGGCTTGGCTGAGTCACTCGGGGCTTCCCGGGGAAGGCTGGGTTAAGACACGCACTTCCTGTCATTCAAGGGGAATTCTCAAAAATAATGTCACGGAGAAAAAGAAAAAAAAAAGCCAGCTGTGGTGGTGCATGTCTGTAATCCCAGCACTCAGGAAGCTGAAGCAGGAGGATTACTGTGAATTTGAGGCCAGCCTGGGCTTCATATCAAGACCCGTCTCAACAAATAAACAAACAATAAATAAAAATAATAGGGCCAAATTCCAGCTCTTGGGAGGCTGTGAACAGGCGGATCACTGTGAGTTCGCTCTAGCAGTGAGACCCTGAACACCCTGTAGACCCTTCCCTAAAATACAAAAGATAAATAACGGCCAGAGAAATGACCACATAAGCGCCTGCCTAGTAAGTGCAAGGTCCTGAGTTTGATCCTTGGAACCAAAAATAAAAAAGTAACATCACAGACACGGTCCCCTGTGCTGCTCAGTGCTTGGAACTCCTAGGGTACAGGCGATGTCCTGTTAGGGGCTGGCATGCGCTATGGCTTCCTCACGGAACCTTGGCCCTGCAGGAGGCTCAGCCGGGTCACTGCCCACCTGACGCCACCATCGCTGGAATGTGCGGGGGTCTCGGGCAGGTGCGGGATCAGGCTTCCTGTGCCCACTCCCACGATGGCGGAGCTCGGGTGATACAAGCTTTGGTCCAGCCGCAGCGCTGATCCCAGAGACGGCGAGCCCCTATGAGTGCTCACATGTGACAGTGCCCTGTGTGGGAAGGCGCCAGTGACGGGGGGAGCAGCGGAGCCAGCAGGTCCTGTGGGGCTCTGCTCCTGCCACCTGAGTGGTCCCTGCTGGTTGTGGGCACACGGATGCTCTGCTTCGGTGTCTACCCCAGTGTCCCCCTTTTTGTATGCACCATGTACAGTGACGTGGCTTCTCCTCTGTGTTCCTTCTTCCCATGTAGCCAGAGTGGACAGCCGGGGACACCACTGTTCAGGCTGTCATTGAGAAGTTACAGGAAGAAAACCGACAGCTGAAGCAGAAAGTGGCCCACGTGAGTGTCCCCTCACATTTCCTGGAGGCGCACCTGGCCTGGCAGGGGGTGGGGCGGGAGGGAGGTTGCTCCTCAGTGCCTGAGCCTGGCCTTTCTCGGAGCATGGCCTTTGCACCAAGCTACCTCCCAGCCTTTTAAAAACATTCTTTATTTTGAGACGAGGTCTTGTTAAGGTGCTCAGGCTGCAGTGGAACTTGGGGTCCTCCTGCCTCAGCCTCCCAGGGTGATGAGATTACAGGTGTGTGCCACCGCATCTATTTTCTTTTTTGACACGACTGTGGACTAACCCCAGGGCCTTGTGAATGCTAGGCAAGTGTTCCACCACTGAGCACACCCCTAGATCCCTGGCCCTTTTTGTTTTTTGAGACAAAATCTGATTAAGTTCTCCAGGCTGGGCCTCCCAGGCAGTTGGTATCACGGTGCACACCACCCTGTTGAGCAGGAAGTACTTTCAAGGCAGAAGCAGAGTTAAGCGCATTTCTGTGCACAGCCCTGCTGTGGACATCTCCAGGGTGCCGCGAGTCTCCATGGCCCGCGTGCGGCGCCGCTGAGCGCCGGGGCTGCCTCCACAGGTGCAAGACCTCAACGCCAAGTGGCAACGCTATGACGCCAGCCGGGATGAGTACGTGCGGGGGCTCCAGGCACGGCTGCGGGGGCTGCGGGAGCCCCAGGAGCCAGAGCTGATGAGGAAGGAGATCTCCCGCCTCAACCAGCAGCTGGAGGCCAGGATGCGCGACTGCGGGGAGGTGGAGCGGGAGCTGGCAGCCACGAGGACAGCCCGGGACGCTGCCCTGGAGCGAGTGCAGGTGTTGGAGCAGCAGGTGTGGCCCTCAGGACAGGAGAGGCCCAGGGCTTGGTGGCACTGGGTGGCAGTGGCCATGGGGACAGAAATGAGTGCATGTGTCTTCTCAGATCCTCGCTTACAAGGACGACTTCACATCAGAAAGGGCAGATCGGGAGCGGGCCCAAGGCAGAATTCAGCAGCTGGAGGAGAGGGTGGCCACACTCCTACAGGCGGCCCAGGGCCAGGTGGGTGTGGGGTATCTTTCCACTGGGCCAGGCAAGCTGACATTCTCATCACGAACATCAGCTTCTGGCTGCTGAGGCCTGACCTGCTGGCGTTGAGGCAATGACAGGGACCCCTCTGTGGGACCTGGGGCACCGGCAGGGATGCGCCTTCATGTTCCATGGTGTGGCAGCCTGTGCAGCAGAGGTGGCCATCAAGGCCTGTCCTCACCGTCAAGTGTCAAGAGCAGCTTTGCCCATGTCTGTCCTCGCTGGGAGGCAAGGACCTGGTTACCTTGTCATGTGGCGTGCCACAGGCTCCAGGTGTCCATCAAGGTCAGTGGTGCAGTCTCTGGGCTCAGTGTCTGCCCTGGCATGGGCTGTAACTGACATGGTGCCCACAGCAGGGCACCTCGTGCCTCTTCCGTGCCTGTAGTTCTGACCCTAGTGCTGCAAGAGTCCCAGGAGGCCAGCACCTTCAGCTGCTTAGTGTCAGCTGTGGCCCTGTCCTAGGGCTTTGCTATCCTGATATGACTGGGCACAGTGGTGGCAGTGCTGACTGTGGAGCTGCCCTCCTGGACAGCGAGAGTGGGGGACCTAGGGCCGCATGTCCCCTGCGTGCTGTGCCCTACGGTTGGCCCCCATCTCCTGGCACAAGGCTGCAGTGAGCCATGGCAAACGGCTCTCTTCCATACCTTAGACTGAGTTCTCAGCAGGCAGCCAGCAACGGCACTAGTGCTGCTTCAGGATGGGGACCAGGGTGGGGGTTGAAGTCTAGCCAGCAAGGAGGTGCCTGAGGCTTGCAGCCACAGCCACAGCAGGCCCAGCCACGCACTGCCTGTCTTGGACCTGCGATTCCTGGTGCTTCCTGAGCCCTGGAGTGTGGGTGTTGGGCACAGGCCTTCAGCCATCTCAGCCAGGAGCACAGCATCTTGGGCCTGGTGACACATGCGCTTTCCTGGGATTTGCTTGTGCTTGGGGTTTTCTGGCCATGTGCTGTACCTGACTTGAAGGCTGCTCACAGCCTGGTCGCCAGACTAGGGGTGGTCTCAGGTGGCCTGCTCAGGAGCCTCATGACATCTGGGGCCGGGGAGTGACAGCAGCGCCCAGGCCTGGTCAGCTCCTGGGGCAAGGTTCCCAGTGGTGCTGCCGTGGCCTCTATGACCCTGTGGCACCATGCGGGCCCAGCCGTGAGTCCCACACTTGGGGACGGTGGTGCTGAAGGTATGGATGTCGAACTGCAGACCTGAGGGAGATCCACATTCAGAGGCAGCGTGGAAAGCAAGCTCAGGCCTGTGGGGACAGAGGCACTGCTAGGCACAGGACAACTCCCTGCTGCCACCCAGGACCCCAGAGTGCTCTGTGCCTCAGGCCCTTAGCATGGTGTAGGGTAGGCTGGTGTATCTCAGGGAACCCTGCTCCTCCCAGGGTCCCTCCAGGTGCTGGGCACTGCAGGTGAGGGAGCAGGGCTCCTGAGGGATTCTAGCCACTGGAACCGACCTGGCCTCTGGTTTTCCTGCAGGATCCCGGAGAGCAGGGCGCCAGCCAGATGCAGGCTGGGAGTGAGCCGGCTGCGTCCTTAGAGACTGATGTGTCTGGTGGCTGGGGGCCAGAAGCCTCCAGGGAGGTTGCACATCCCAGCACGGCCCCGAGAGGACAGGGCGACCTCCAGTGCCCTTACTGCCTGCGCTGCTTCAGTGACGAGCAAGGCGAGGAGCTCCTGGGGCACGTGGCCGAGTGCTGCCAGTGAGTGCAGCTGCCTGGGCTGCCCCAGCGGGGCCTGGGTGGGCCCTGTGGAGATGGGAGCTGCAGGTGGGCCCGCCACTCCCTCTGTCCCAAGCTGCAGACAGACAGGGCTGGAGGGAGCAGCGGGAAGGCCTTGGCGGCATTGTCCAGTGTGTGGCGGTCTGGTGTGTGTGTGTGAAGGCCCCTGTGCTGCCAGGTGGAAGCCACACGCTGCCCCACGTGGGAGGACTTAGAGGCCACAGCGGCAGAAAGAGTAACCGTGGAGCCGTGGTCTGCTCTGCCAAGTTCCCTCTGGGCCCCCACCGGCACTGTGCCATGTCACAGGGGGCTCAGCTGTGTGCTGTGTCACGTTGAGCACTTGCACGGCAGCCACCTGTCGCACATCCAGAGGTGAAATGCTCATTTTACAGCCCCTTATTTTTACCATAAACATCCTGACTGCTGGGACCCCGGGCTGGCCTCACCCTGGTGTACCCCGAGAGGGCTGGAGGGTTGCAGGGACGAGCAGCCCCAGAGGCAGGTGGATACCCAGGCCCAGTGTGACTCTGAGGGTGGGCTGAGGAGTGACCCTGTGTGTTAGAGGAAGCTGAGGCCATCTGAGCACCGGAAGTGGAGGATAGGGACATTGCAGAGACAGAGGCGCCCCAGGAAGAGAAATCCTGGCAGATCTTGACGTGTGCGCACCGCGAGGCACCTGGTGGAGCAGCTGGGGCACGAGCTGGGAGATTTCTGGCTATGCTGTAGGGAACCAGGTTGGAATCTGAGTCTGACCCCTGGGGTCAGGCACAGGGAAACACCCCAGGCTTCCACCTCAGCGCTGGCAAGGCCATAGCCAGGGCAAACGCGGAGCAGCCTGCCCTGCAGGGCCACCTGTGTCCGGGCAGCCAGGCACAGCCTCCTTTTCTCTGCGGTCTTCCTTTCTCCCCTCACTGTGCAGTTTAGGCTGGCTCAGAGTCACTCCTGCCAGCCTCCCAGGTGCTGGGACTACAGACCGGTGGGACTTCCATGCTTAGAACAAAACCCAGCACTTCACAGAAAGGCAAGAGAGCAGGCACCTCAAGCCCATGTCAGTCCAGCCTCAGTACTTACCAGAGTGGAGTCTGAGACGATGCATTTCTGGAAATAAAGGGATATTAAAAGTGAATGCAGAATAAATGTATTTTAGACAAATACAAGCTAAGAACATTGATATCCTGCAGGCTGTCCTGTAAGAAATGTCTGTACTGTAGACACTGGCCATGCTGTGTCAAGGGCAGTGCCAGAGGCCTGGAAGCCAGCTACTTGGGATGCTGCGACAGGAGGGCTGCAGTCCAAGGCCAGCCTGGGCAACTTCGTGAGACGCTGGCAAGAGGGCTGGGAGTGCAGCCCAGCGGCAGAGTTGGCCCGTGTGAGCCCTGCGCGGAGCCTCCAGTGTTGCAAACAAGAAAACAAAATTACTCAGGCTAAAGGAAAGTGACCCAGACAGAAGGACAGAAATACAGGAAAGGATAAAGAGCGTGGGTGTGGTAGAGAGAAGTGAATATTGCTTTAAAACGTGAACATGTGACCACAAGAGCTTGGGCGGTGTGTGTGGGATGTGTTTAATAGCCTTGCACTGCTGAAAGATTTTGTGTTGATTTAAGGTGGGCTGTGATGAAGGAAACACATTGTAATCTCTAGGGCAGCCATTAAAACAGTACTGAAATATTCAATAAAAAGCTAGCTGGGCGTGGTGGTATGCACCTGTAATTCTAGCAATGGGGAGACTGAGGCAGGAAGACCAGTGTGAGTCTGAGATCAGTTTGGGCTACATAGTTCAGGACCAGCATAAACTACAGTGAGATCCTGTCTTAAAAAAAAAAAAAAAAAAAAGAATATCTTTTGATTATGACATGTTAGGTGAAATCTTTATTTTTAAAAACACTTTTTTTTTTTTTTTTTTTTTTTTTTGGTAAAGGGTCTCACTATGCAGCTCAGACTCACAGTGATCCTCCTGTCTCAACCTCCCCAGCACTGAGATTACAGGCATGCACCAAGACGCTGACATGCCTGGTTTTGGTGGCCGGCATGGCACACAGTACTGGGGATCAAACCCAGGTCCTCGTACCTTCCAGGCTGGCGCTTAGACTGCTGAGCTATCTCCCCAGCCCTAGGTGACTTTTTTTTTTTTTGTGGAACCAGGGATTGAACTCAGGCCCTCACGCTTGCCAGGGAAGCCCTTATTCTACTGAGCCATCTCCCCGGCCCGAGAAATTTTTTTAAATGAGACACAAAGAAGATAGATGGTAAGCCAGGTGCAGTGGTTTATGCCTATAGTCCCAATTTAGGAGGCTGAGGTGAAAAAGCCCAAGAGTTTGAGGCCAGCATGGGCAACAGAGAGACCCTATCTCAGAAAACTGATGGTATGGCTGGGTGTGGTGGCGCACACCTGTAATCCCAGCACTTGAGACGGGTGCAAGAAGATCACTGAATCTGAGGCCATCCTGGGCTGCATAAATGAGCTCAAGGCCAGCCTGCACTACGTGGTGAGGCCCAGCACCAAAGCCTCACTCCATTGTAGCGGGGCTTTTGGGAGGAGGCTGGATCAGTCCTCTCATTCAGCAGTCTGGGCATGGATGACGGGTTCACTGAACAGGGGAGCTGTTCTTCACTCTGCCCTGGATGTGGGCGGCACCAACAAATAGGCTTATAGCCTGGAGGGCATAAAAAGGGAAAGGAAGAGGAAAACTTGCAGCCTCCTCCCTCCCTTCCACAAGCTCTGCCATGCCAGGCTGCCCTGCCTTGGAGCAGCAGACTACAGTAGACTGTGGGCCAAGATAAACATCTCAGGTGGTGCGTGTCAGGCATCACGTTCTAGCTAGGAGAAAACAGCTAAGACCCTGAGGGTAGGCTGTAGCTCAGTGAGAAGGCCCTGCCTCTACCGCCCAGTAGCACAAAACATCAGTAAGTTAGGCTGCCTCCCTAACTGATAAGGACAAAAAGCATAAAGTGAGCACCAGGGAAAATGCCGTGTGGAGACAGGCGGGGGGCACGGCAAGCAGCGAGGCCAGGGAGGGCTGGACCAGAGCTCGGCAGCCACGCGGGCTCCATCCAGGCTTGTCCTCAGCTGGGAGGGCAGTGTGACAAGGCAGCCCCTGCAGAGCGCATGACCCACCCACAGGCTGTCATCCTAGGGTTAGAGAAAATGTTTATCAAAATGTTAAACTACACATAGTACAGAATACTGCTGAGAAATATGAAGACATGAGTTGGGCTCTGGGCTTGCTGCTGGGAGGGGACGGTGTCACCACGCAGTGTCCCCTCAGGAAGCACATGTGGCCACCCACTGCATACTTCAGAGTGGTGCTCACCGACCAGGCCACGTATCCACTCAGTGCACAGCTCCGTTGCCGGTGTCCCGTGGTCATCAGCATATTCACGTTCGGCCTCTGGAAGCTCAGAACCTCGCTGCTTCCCTCAGCCTCCGCCCTGCTCTCGGGACCCTTGATTTTCTGCCTCTGGAGATTTCCGTTTTGGCCAATTTGTGTGCTGCTCCATCCCTCCTCCCCCGCTCCCTCCTTTCCTCCCCTCCTCTTTCCTCCTCTTACTGGGTGTTGAACCCAGGCTCTTGGCGCTGCGCTACCTTCTTAGCTCTATTCATGTCCTTCATTTATTCATTCTGGTTTTTGTGACAGATTCTCACTAAATTGCCTAGGTGTGAGGTCGTCCTGCTCCATCCTCCTCAGTAGCTAGGATTACAGGTGTATACCACCATATCCAGTTTATATTGATTTTTAAAAAAAAATTTATGTATCCGGTATGCAGCTCAGACTTGTCGCGATCCTGTTTTCAGCCTTCCCAGCGCTGGGATTACAGGTGCGTGCCGTGATCCTGGGCCTTGGTGGCCAGCACAGTGCACCCTGGGGGCAGGGCCAGCACCACAGGTGGTACCAGGGACCCTGATCCCTGTGCTTGCCTAAGCAGGAACTTAGTCCGCTGAGCTGTCTCACCGGCCCTCATTTTATATTAATTTTTAAAAATGATTTTTTCTGTTCTTTAGTGTGCAATAATGTATCCAGTAGTGGCAAATTCTTTTTTTTTTTTTTTTTTTTTAAACTCAGGTCCTTTGCACTGAGCTATATATCCAGCCCTTTCAATTTCAAAACAAGGTCTTACTAAATTGCTGCGGTTGTCCAGATGGGCCAGCCTTGTGGTCCTCCTGCCTCGGCAGAAGAGGTGTGCCCCAGTGTGCCTGGCTGATTTTTATGGCAGTGATTGTGCGTCTCCAATTCTGTGGTTCCCAGCTGCGTCTCTGAAGACTCATCTGTCTGTATGGATGGAGGCTTGCCATCGTACCACTGTCCACATCTTTAAGTCTCTAATCACGGCTGATTCTACTTCTGGGATCCCCCATCCTGCGATTAAGCCTGGGGCCTTGCGCATGCTGGGAAGTGCTCTACCACTGAGCTACATCCCCAATCCGGTTTTAACAGTTTTGTTTCAAGACATGGTCTTGCTAAATTTCCCAGGCTAGCCTTGAACTCAGGATCCTCCTGCCTCAGCCTCCTGAGTAGCTGGGATTACAATCACGAGCCACTGCAACTGGCTATTGAAAAGCATTTTTCTGGTATATCTGATATTTTTTTTTTTTTTTTTTTTTATAGTGTCTACTTTTCATTTTTTTCCTCACAGGTATTTAGAATATACTTTCCTTTTTTGCATTCTGCACTTTTGTTGGAAACTTGAAGCTGCAGACACTACCGCAGGCTCTCCCTCTCCTGTCCTGCTGTCGGCAGCGCCAGTTATCTGGCCACCTGTGGTCTGGAATTCCTGGCCTACCCTGCCCCATGGGTGTCAGCTTTCCCCTGCGGGCCGCGCTGCCAGCCCGCTCCTAGGCCACTGTCAGGACACTACAGCAACTGTACTCCCATCACTCCTTTCATCCCAGCCTGAGCGAGCACTGGCATGGAGGCGGCTGGTGGGGCACAGCGAGGAGCAACTGTAAAATGCTTTCTTCACCTGGGAGGGCGAGCTCCGCAGTGAGGACACGGCGCCGAGGGTGCCCCACCTGTGATGAGCACGGGTCCATCGGTGAGACTGAGGCAGGGCGAGGTCACGGGTCTGGTGGGGGCCCAGGCTGCACCCCTGGGAGAAAGCTGTGGAATAACCTGTGTCACTAACTCCAGCCCTGCATCAGCTTTTTATTCTTGAGCTGCAGATTCTGAAGTCCAAGGATTAGAGGACAGGCGGACCTTGGCTCATGGTCTCACAGGTCCAGTACATGGTTGTTGGTTCCACGGCAGGAATGTCATAGAGGAAGGGGATGGAGCAGCCAAGGTGCTTAGTTTTTTGGCAGCTGGAGTGGATGGCAGAGAAGAGCCAGGAGGCCAGGTCCTGCCCTCACGCCCCCACAGGCTCGTGAAGAAGTGTGGGTTACCACCCCGTGTTGCTCCAGAGCCAATCAAGGTGACAATCCAGATGTTCCATCGCTCAATTATCCTGTTTTCCACCTGTCTATTTAGGGACTGCCTTACCTCCCTGAGGCCCCTTTAATCTCTCCTCTCGCCCAGCATCCAGCCACTGACTGTCCCCAGGGAAAGACAGCTTTGGGTGTGACCCCAGCCAGCCAACTACAGTGACCTTGGCAGAGTCCTCCTCCTCTCCCTTCTGTCACATCCACGTGTCCAAGTACTGATCACCAGCTGTTTGTCCTGCTATTCAGTGCTAACCAGAGAAGGGGCCTGAGGTCACAGTGCCCTGGGGCCCCAAAGCCAGTGCCCGTGGACGACTCCCTGTCTTCTAGACAGCTGCGGGGCTGCAGTTTGGTTCCCTGCTGGGGTGGGAGCCGAGCTCTCTGAGCTCTCTGTTCCACGGCCAGGACTCTGGAGCAGAGGTGGGGGCATGAGCAGGCTTCTAGCTGCAAGCCACGTAAGGAGCGGAGGGCTCGGACAGTGGCTGGGTGGTGGGAGCCGCTCCTCCTGCTGGGCCCAGGCCGTGTGCTCTGTGCGTGGGCCCAGTCGGGCAAGGTCGCATCTCCAGCTTGGTGGCTATTTTAAAATTTGCCCTCTAATCATTACCTTTTAGCAGGCTGGACTTGAGGTGCCTCAGCATGGTTTTCTTCATTCTGGTGCTTTGGGGCTGGGGACACAGAGCACTTGCCTCGCAAGTGTGCATCCCTGGGTTTGA